ACAGAGCTTGAGCTTCAGCTCCCTCGTCCCAGCGTTGCTTTCCAAACAGCGGCAAGGTTGTCCTCCAGCAAGATGCTAGCTTTGGCAATAAAGCTGATTAAAGACCTTCCCTGTTCCTGTTGTCACCTCGCTCCTCTCCTCAGCGCTCACTCCCGTCTTCCAGATGGGCTTCCAGTTTTTCGGACCAGCTGCAGTGATCCAGTTTACAACGGGACCATACAAACGGTCGTGCTGCCATGACTGAGAAACGAAACTGGGCAGAAACGAGGGCCAGGGAGAGGAAGGGAACAAGAACACAGATACAGAGCTACACGTAAGTCCTATAACAGGCTACTACCTCTTTAGTCCAATATGTGACCACGGGTTGGATATTTAGCAAATGTACACAAAAAAGCTCTTATGAGAGCGTTTAATGCTCTGTAAGGAAAAACAAATACTCTGTACTGTGATTATAAATGGAACTAACTAAAAGATTTTGTCAAGAGGCTTTATTCCAGTAAACCATCACTTTTACCTATCAGGCTGAATTTCTCATTTATCTTGCAAGGCAAGCTCCAGTTGAGTGTTAAAACAATTTTTACCATTTGGTTATCTCATGTCAGAAGAACCTGCCATTATCATCGGCACTGAAGAATGGAAAACCAGCATTTAATATGCACTTAATGCATAAAAATAGAAGCATTTAAATGGAAAATAAGCAAAACTACTAAACCTCTGAAGAGCCAAAAATTAAAGGAGAAAAGAAAATTAATGGAAATGTTGATTTAAGACCCAAGTAGCCTATATTTAACGCGCTGAGAGGCCTCAGAGTCCTCTGAGCACTGTAAGGGCTTGCATACAGCTGGAAATTTACCAAAATAGCTATTCTGAAATAATTATTATAACAACAATCCACAATTAAAATGCTCTCTAATGAAGCTTGCAATGAAAATGTAATTGGTGATTATGGAACGTCAAGAAGATGCGCTTGTGCAGACAGCACTAGTTGTGCTACATGCAGCAAAGGCAAATATAATTCTTAATCAAAACCGGAGATTCAGACAGAGGCAGACAGATACCAGCTCTGGAACAAGAACAGCCAAGAAACGTCACCACATTAGGGTTATTATGCATATATACAGAACAGTTAATTCAATTTTTAACTGCGAACGTTAATAAAATTGAGAAGGTCGGCCTAAAGTAAAACAGGATTTTTTTTAAAGCAAATTGACAATATGGACATCCCTAAATTCTATTTAGCATGCCTATGAACCATGGCTCTAATGTAATTTAGAAGTATAACTACAACAAAACAAGAGATCAGACTTCAGCGAAAAAATATTCCACCACAGTACGAAAATGTGTACAGTAAAATCAAGAGGATATTCAGAATTGATTTGTTAGCATTGTACCATATCAGAAATTCAGTAATGTCATAATATCTTAGTTTGTATCACATAAATATAGCATATGATTCCATAAACACTTATTTCTTATGCTACCAAAATAGCTCATAGTGCTCTATTCTGTTCATATTAGGTCAGCTGAATCATTGCTCTAGCTTGGAGGAGGTACTGTCTCTTCGTAGATGAGTTCTGCAGTTAATATCGGCGTTGACAGGAGTAGCTTGTTGTACCAGCTGCCATGCTCATTTAGATAATAAATGTGTTTAAATATACTGTGAAGAAACAAAATCAGGTCATGTCTTCCAAAGACCTGTTCATTCAAACATCAATAAATGCATCTTTTCTGTTTACCTACTTACAGGACACCCTGCAACCATAGTATCTTACCACAGTAATGATTAGATAGAAATCCTTTTCTTAATGAGATTAACACATAACATATTAAATTACCCTGGAAGAAGAGTTCTGTTTTCACCTTTGTGACCAGCACTGTTTGGCTAATGATGTAGATGCATCATGTGAGTTACACTAATTTCTTCTAGAGGCAGAAATTTGAGAGCAGAGCATATCGAATGAGCTCTAGTAGGGTGTCTCACCTGGCCTCAGTTATAGACACAGTGCCTCATGTCAGGGTTATAAGCTGTATTTCTGCACTTACTTTCTTTTTTCCTTCTTTTAAGACCACTTGTTCAAATGAGGCTATAGTTTCGCAGATTACACACAGGTTGAAACAAATGCAAAAGCTTTATATGAGGCTAGATTGGACCCAAAGAGAAGCAGCAATATGTGTAAACAGCAAAGGCAACATGCGCAAGAGCGTATTTTGGAGAAGGGAGAAAAAGAAGGTATCCAAGCAAGCATTCCCTTCCACAGATCCCATAGTCCCTCCAAGCACCATGCCAAAAAAAAAAAAAAAAAAAAAAAAAAAAAAAAGCAAGGTATTGTGGAGTTTCTCTCTCCTTTCAAGGACACTAGACAGACTTTCCCCTCCCACATATCGCATATGAAGCAACAACCCAATGTACAGTAAACTATACAGTACGAGGCTAAATTAAGATCTTGAAGATCTTCTATAGGGCTAGGAGAGAAACCATGAGAGTTCATCTGGTTTTGTGTCTGGCAGCTGACCTACACATTCCCTCCTGCAACCTTCCTTGTCTGTGTTCTCTCCCCATCCACATCCCAGATTCCACAGAGAGGAGTGGTGGTGCTCCAGAGGAACTGGTCCTGCCAGAGGGCATGGAGCCTAAACCAAAAGTAACTTTCTATTCCCTAGGAACACACACAATGTCTAACCCAGGGCTCCCACACTGGCATATGTATATCACAAACGATAAACAAGTCCTTCAAGGCTGCATGCAGCCCAAGATAGTTATGAGCTCTGAGAGCTGACAGTGCTTTCGGAAACAATTTATGGTACCCAGATACTAGGGATGGAAGAAAGGAAGAGTAGTGTCACAGAGGGGCTGACCTATGGGTTAAGTTACAGACTTAGTGCGACTGTAAGTACAGATTTCCTACTAAAGGATGCGTGTTTAAAAGAAAACACCCACTGAACTCTTTTCCCTTTAGCTTCTACTTTAAAGTGTGAAGGGTCCAAAACTTTGCTTAGCCATCTTATCCTTTTTTCAAATGGCAACATTTGACTTCTTGTGTCTCTGATGCAAAAGAATGTAAGCCGCCCCCTCCACCACGCGTGCGCACAACACACACACACACACACACAGATGAAAGTGCTAACAGAAAGTGTTGGACAGTGCTGGGAATACAGCTTGTGAAAACTGCCACCGTGCTTGCCTGGCAGACATTTCTTCTAAAATCTCTTCCTAGAGCAGATGGGATCCTCCTCACTGATAAGATTTCAACTATTAAAAAGAAAGGGATTTCAATCTAAGACGATACTTTCATTTGCAGTCTTTGTACAGAATATTTTACAGAATTTATGCCAATAATTAGCATTTATGCTAATGTGCAGTACCAGCCTGATATTTCTTGAAGGCATCTGAGACTAGAATGAGATTTACTGAAGCACTGAAAGTCTTGTTTTCCTTTTATCTAAAAGGAATTTCATATATTGGACTGCTAGTTAAAGTGGGACTTCTCATGGAATGGATACCTGCACCCCGAGCTGAGATTAATCCACACAAAAACCCTGTATGCATTTTCAGTGCAAACAGGGTAGGGAGAAAGACAAAGCAGAGAACCTTAATGATTCCAAGGTAGGAGTTTTATTTCTGGTAGCTGTTAAAACAGCAACTCATAATGTAGGTCATCTGCATATGCAGTGTAATTGATATGTCTCCTAAAAAAAAAATCTGTTTTTAAATGTATTTTGGTGACTAGTTCCAGCTTTTCATCAACGGCTATAAGATCTTTCTCTTTGCTTTTGCTCATTTGCTCTTAAACATCACGAATGAAAAAGCAGCAAAGTGCTAGAACAGGGAGAGTAGGGAAGAGCAGGCAGTTACTTTGAGGTGACAAATGATACAGCAGTGGAATAAAGAGGTCTACTCTATCATACCAGAGAACACTAGAGTGGAACAACGAGCTAAACGAACACAGGAGCCTGCTGACAAGATGGTACACACCACGGCTATGGCACCACAGTCACTGACATAAGCGCTGACCTACGTTGCCATTCTGCATTTAAAGGGAGGTTTACAAAGCTCTTATCATGACATCTGCAATCCAGCTCTACAAACGCTTTCATAAGGATCACCAGTTGTGTTACTGTTTCTGTTGACTTCAATGGAAAAGGGCAGTGGAACTATTTGCGACACACCTGCTAAACCATCTGCACAACACACACATGCGATTAACACATTTTTAGCCCCCTCTTTCAGTTAATGAAGCATTCCTTAACACTACCTCACCCTCCCAGTACTGTCATCAAGACTTACATTTTCTTCTAATGTTCAACAGGAACGTTTTCAGGGACAGGATTCACAACAGCTCAAGAGTTTCTCTTCCCACTCACCAGCACCGTGAATGCCCTTCTGAGTTAGCACAGATCTCAAACCAAAAACCATATGCAAACCAATCCTCCCAAAAGGCATTCAATGAAAAGCTCTGGTAAGCTTTTAACCACGCTTTACTTTTTGTCAGGTATCTGTGCAGTGAATTCAGTGAGCAGACTTAGAACAATAGCTTCTAACTGTATTAAATAACTCTGCGTTGTTAAGAATGCCAGCGTTCACTTAACTGCTCATTTTCCCTTCCTCATGAGGATGCACTTCACTTGCCCACTTTTCTGACATCCAGCAGGAACAGTGGAGATTCCCCTTGATTTGGGCCAAATGCCAATCTGTCTCCTCTCAGCCAAGTCACTAACCAAAGGTGCTATAAATACACTGACTACTCCCCTGAAAGTCAGAAATAGTGGCCACGAGAACAGAATATAACTTTGTTCTTCTGACTTGCAACTGCTCTCACATTAGGCCCATGTGTTCAAATTAACATAGCAAGTAGTGTACTCACAGTAAAAAGACTAATGACTTGGAGTGGGGGGACAGAGCAGGAAAAAAAAGAGCTTAAACTGAAGGGTCTGCTGTCATTTATAACGTCAGTCTTGTATTCAGGCTAGAATTGTTACTGCAAATATTATGAAGCACTCACATAGCAGTGTTTTTGATGATCCTTCCTTGGTCCATTTTCTGCCCAATACCATGCACAACAAACACAATGTGACTAGTTTGTGGTGGCTTGTCTTCTAACGTAGCTTCTTCTACATAGCCTCTATGTAGCCTTGTCCCACTACTTGAAGCTGCAGGAAAAACATTATCCTAGATCAGTTACATTCGAGGAAGTGTGATGCTCTCATATATGTTGACAGAACATTAGTTCATCTCACACCAATGCATTAAAGTATTTTGAAAATAAGATTATACATGAAGAAACAGCATGTATTTTTAAATGTCTGCAATCTTAAACTCCTGAGATATTTGAGCAACTAAGTGATATTAATTGCATTGGTCAATATACTGATTGGCCGTTTCCACTGTAAAGATAACTAATTTCAGGGATGTTTAGAAAAAACAACTTTTTAGAAAACAGTTTATTAACTGTCTGTCTGCTTTTACAGTACTATTAGCTACCTTTCTTCTGCATGCCTCTAAACATCTGTACATCTCTACCTTTCTCCCACACCATGAGTAATTATTGAAATGACCTTGCCACAAAATTGCTAAGCATCAGCAGTCTCTCTCTGACCCCATTAACACATCTGGTTAAAAATCTTTACAATTTGTCGCTTTTACAAGGAAAATCACATTTTATTTCAAGTAGATCCAACCCCTTGTCTCACCTTCCTGCAGCTGGCTTGTGAAACCCATTAGCAAAGTGTGTCTCCATCCCCCTCTAGTGACAGACCAGTATAGAAGGCAACAGCCTTGTACAAGTGCTAGCTGTGCAACTGGGAGAAAATAATAAATCCAGCAAGCCGTTAGATGGCCACGGAGAGGAAGACAGCATCATTCCCCACGATAAAAATTGAAACATACAACTTGCTTTGTTTTTAAGGAGGAGGAAAACACAGTGAGAATGCCAACATATGAAACTTGCAAAGTAAACACTTCAGAACTGCAGAATTAAGGTCCCTTCTACAACACTTAACTCCTGCCCTTGTCCACTTGGGCACTATAGTGATGCCTGGAACTACATGACCACATGGCAGTTTTTACAAAGGACAGACTTATCAAATAGCAGCCTACTTGATAAGCTAAGTCTCCCCTCAGATTTTTTACAACAGATCTTGCGCGTGATTCATTGCACACTTTCCAAATCATGTTCTGGATACATAGTACTTCATTTCTTCGGGAATTTTGTGCAATAGCATTGAATTACATTAATTCTTGGCAAATTTTAATAAATATCCCTGAGGGGTAAGAGGGTATTAATTATAGAACGGAGGCATGGAGAATAAAGACAAATCTATTACCTGCTCCTGTCTATTCAGACAACAAGGAACAAAACAGAAGGAACTCGCATATGTTCCTGTTTATGCGGTTGTCCAGCAGAGCATAGAAACACCACAGCAGAGAGGACAATTTCCAGATTTCTAGGTTGGCATCAGTCTGCCTTTCCCAAGGGAGAGATTATCCTCTCTCCCAGCCATTTAGCCTCACTGGCTTTATAACTGGTAGTTTCGAGATTAAATGAGGAGTCCTATTGAAAATAGTTTCCCTCAAAATAGAACTCTACCCCTCCTCTGAGTTCATAGGGCTATTACATGAACTGTTGGAAGCAGGAGCTAGCAAGAGGGGAAGACATGATCATGTATTGAAGAAATGCATCACAGTACGGAAGTACACAGGGGTAAAGTTAAGGTTGCAAAGGGAACCATAATTTTTATATCGTAGCTGCTAGACTGTGAAACTGTAATATTTTAATATACTTATGCTATATGAACTGCTGCATCAAAATAATAATAAAACAAGTAATGAAAATAAGTCGTAGCCTATTCATGTCCAGCTGCAACTATGTACAACAACCTAAAGCACGTAATACAATCTTCTGCAACACTTCAGTGGCAAAAATGGGCTAAACACATATCAGAACTTCAAATTTGTCTTCTCTTCCTACTGTTAAACCAACAAACTGTTAGAATACTGGTATTTACAATATCCTTTACAAACTCTGAGAAATATTACCTTTGGAAAACCCCAACTTTTGTGTAACAGTTCTTGCAATTTTAGATGTTGTTGCATCACTGTAAAGATACACTTCATCCACACTGTGCCAGTCCACATGGTTGCGACTCAACTTTAGACTATGAATAGCTGCAGCAAAAAGGAACAACATTTAATTTAGATGGATAAGAGGAAAAAAAGCCTCTTCAGACAGAGAGAGAAAAGGGAAATTCACACACAGTAAAATCTAGAGCTCTATTATACCTAAATCCGTATTACTTCTTACCTTGAAAAGATTTTACATTTAGGACTAATCTGACCAAGACCAAGCAGCAGTTTGGGGGCCACCTCTGAGGACATTTCACATCATCATCCTCCCACTGTCATTCCTTTTTTGGGATAGTAACCTTCCAAAATATACTCTCAGCTGAAAACAAAATATGGGGGGGGAGGCAGGACAATGCATCACAAAATACTGCAGGTTGCTCTGACGACCAAGTGGCTGTCACGTGCATTCTTGCTAGCAAAAAGCAATTATATTCCTATTTTCTTTCTCCTGTATCTGTACAGTGAGATCCCTGGTTTTGACTGTGGCTACAGTGCACTGCAGTAGCCTAGACAGATAGATGCTTTCAAAGCTCTGTTACTAGAAGGCTCCATTGCATCTTTTATCCTTTCAGAAATGTCTAGAGTTGGAAATGCAGTTCAGTGAGAAAGCCTCTGAATGAGTAATTTCTGGCACAGAACAGAAGCTAGGTCTTTCAAAAGCCACTAAGAGCTCTAGTGCCTTTGTGCAGTTAGTGTATTTTCCAGATTTGGAACTGACTGATTGAACTCTGGGACCAAATTCACGATACACTGCCTGATTGTCAGGATTAAGCACAGCAGGCACGTTATAATGCAAGCCAGAATCTCTCATCTAAGCTTGAGGCTTGCATTAGCAAAACAATATTGCAGCTGTACTGACTAGTAATTTGGATTTCACCTAGGTTTGGAAATCTGCTGCTTTGGCCTCATCTAACATGAGACGTGCAACGTTTAGGAGGGCTAACAATTAACAGCAGTAGTCCTATGACAAATGTGTTATTTGTCACTGTTAATTGTGTCAGTAGGTCACGGTAAAAAGCCTGCAGTCACAGAAAAGATTTAGAGGTTTTTTTTTTTTTTTTTACTTCATAAAAAGTTAAAACTCTAGCTCATCCCCTACTTGAAGTCATTTAAATGAATTTTTTATGCTCTTCTGAAGACATTCTGGCAAAGCCTGAGCTATCACAATTTCAGATTTTAACTCTATTATAGCACAGAACAGCCACGTTAAGCTAAACGCTGAGACTTTTCTCCTGCTGTATTTTTTGTTTCTTTGCCAAAGCATACAGACCTAACGTAGTTTGCTGAAAAACGAAATCAAGTCTCTAAGAAACAGGGGGATCAGAAAAGGATTACTCCTCTATTATGGTAAACAACTAATTCGCAAAAAATAACCAGAACTACATTGCTGTTTTACACTGCCAGCACAAAGAACAGGAAAGGACATCAAGTGTGACTTTGAAGAGCAGGTATGGTAGCTTAGGCTAATGACTGGCAAGAGCAAGAAGCAATCTAGTGTGAATTCACTGAACAAGCAAAAAGATTTTTTCATAAACTCCCCTGTAGGAGCAGAGATGATGCTATGACCGGAAATATAAGTATAGACCTGGAGAGGGAAAGGAAATACCCAGCAAAACTTCCTCTTTCAGACCTGGCATCAAAATTAACGCAACAGTGATGTCCTGAAAGAGGCAAGCAGTCTAGTGGCAGAGGCATGTGACTGTCTTGCACGTCTATGGAATCTCCCCCACCACCAAATTCATGACCACTGTGGTCTTTACTCATCGTTTAGCAGGACTTCACCAGCAAAGAACTATTCTACCTACATTCTGTAAATCATCTCTCAGAATATGCTCCTAGGGGAGCTGATAGCAGAGGGATAGAAGCATAATACCTCTGAGACCATCACAATGATCTCAAGGGCCAAACCGCGCAGAAGAAGAGGGAAACAGGGGCCCATGATTGAGTTGCTTACGACTGCTGGAAGAATAGTGATTTGGGGAAGAGGGATCTTCAAACGTTTTCCTGAAATAAAGCCTGGCCTCTCCATCACAAAGAATATTCAGAAAGGTCACGGATTTTCCAGGATGGTTCTCACTTGGGAAGAATAAATCCCTAACTTATACTCTTATACTGTTCTTCAGAAATACGTATGTTGAAGGACATGCTCAGAGCCATGCATGCACTGAGGAACTGCAAATGAAATTCACACTGCTATTTCTTTGCATATTTAGTCCTGCCTTCAAAAGAAAATCTGAAAAGCTAGGGCCTACTGTTAACACAAGCACCATATGGCTTCAGTAGGACTGTGCTTCTCTACCTCTTGAGAACAGTTGCTTACCTCTCCGAGATGTGCTGTCAACATACACATTATATTCAAGCTCAGACGCTGGTCAAGAAAAAAAAAAAAGTACTTGCACTATACGCCCTCCCTTCCTTTCCACCTGGCTCCCAAAATATTGTTGTTGTTGTTTGCTCTTCCTGCTTCTCAGTTCCCCTTCCACTAGGAAGTATCAGAACCTTTTGGGAAAGGGCAGGATGCAAAACAGGCACATGGACAACACTTCTCAGTAAATCTAATCTATCAATAAATTGATACATTTTATATTCATAATATATTTACATTTTACATTTCTTAGTAAGTTTTGTTTACCAATAATTTTATCACTTGCTTTTCCCTTGAGTGTCTGTCCACACAAACAATTTGTGTCCAAAAGCAAAGTCCAAATCAGCAGTAGAGTCAGTTACTGAAAAACAATGACTGCAGGACATTTCAGAGGCATCATATATACCAGTGCAGCATTTGACAGACATTTGGATGGCGCTCCCAAGGTGACTGTCTCACCAATCAGGAATAGATACATTCTTTAAAAAGTCAACTGGGCCAGAATAAGCTAGGCCACACGCTCCACCTTAAGCATCCTGTTTCGAAAACCCATATGATGTACTGTTTACCAAGTGCACTTGAGGGTCAACGTTCCTGTTCCACAGACCAACCATCCCCTTATCTAGATGGAGTGAGATTTTGTCTCCCCTTCTTGACTCACACAAACACTGGGAGATTGATTTGTCCTCAAACCCCAGATGTGATGTTCATGAATGGAACAGAACCCCCCGATACAGAAATACCTACTACCCTGAGCTCCAGTTCCTCTTTGTGTGCAAGATTAGCTCTTCAAAAGAGGAGGGACTCTCCACTTGATGCTTATTGTTGTGCACTCTCTACCGTCATGTAAGCACATGACGTCTCTGCCGTCTCTGCCAATGATGACAATGTCTGAGGAGAGCAAAATGGTACACCCTTGCTGGGACTTGCATACCAGAAACTCAGCTGAGAGAAGAGCTGCCTAGCAGAGACCAGTCACGAGGATAAACGATCCATAAGCCATGTGTGCACGCACAGCTGGGCAGGGACAGAGGTTCTCTGTCATTGTGCAAAGGAGCTACTATTTACTACTCATCTAGGTAACAGAAACTGCAATAAAGTTCCTCTTCATGAGGGCAACTACTCCATCAAGGGCTTTGAAGACATTCACAAGACCCTCAAGGGGCCAAACAAAAGGATATTTTACTGCTGGTGTTCCCAGGCTGGAAGAAATATGTCTTCTGAGGAGGTCTGACAGCAACATGAAAATAAGCATCCTAAAAATCAGAAGAGACCAACCATGCTTTCCAGGTATGGGATGACAAGGGCTACAATCACTGTCTTGAACAAGAGCTTGAGAATGAGAGTTTTATTTCCTTAAATATGAGATAACATGATTTACCATTCTCTTTTCAAACACAGTGACTGTGATGTAAACCTCTTCCATGTTGCAAAGGTGCTCAAACTGACAACGCAGGAGATGTTTGTACCAAGAGATGTCACTAAGATGTCAAGAAGTCACTAAGGCATGCTGTAGCTTGGCTGAGGAAGGACAGGGTATCAATTTGCAGAATTTAGATTAGGCAGTGGATGTGGCAACAGGAAAACATTCTTCATGCTTCTTCCTCTGCCTCCTGGGTCCTTCAAGAATAAACTTTCTACAGCTGGGGATTCACATCAGGGCACTAGGCTAGGATGTTTCTGAGCTTCACCGAGATCCAACTGTGGCCACAGAATCTCTGAATAGGACGCAAAAGAGGTGAAGGGTCTCCCGCTGGATCACAGGACAGGAACCTCTCCCCAGAGCAGACTTCTTGCAGCTTTGTTTTCACATGAGCTACTTTGACACAGACAACATGCGTAGCTTTCTCTGAAGGAGCTTCCTTCGGTGAACATTCCCCAACTGCAGAAATCCCTAGGCACTCTTGAACTCTGCTGAGCTTTCTAGTTTGGCCAAGTCTACAGAAGCCAGACCACGCTCTGATTTTCTTTATAGCCCAGAATCTACCGATGAAAGGTTTTTCAGGAATACAGTACCAATATGTGGAAGGCACAGTTTCACTGCAGATGGAAGATAGCTGACATGAGAAGGATTAGGAAAGAAGTTTTCTCAGCTGCAGAAATCAGTGGTTATTATCACACTACTTGGTTTCACCAAGAAAGATGAAGAGGGAAAAATCCCTCTAAAAAGTTTCAATATGGGGAAAAAGAAAGGGAAAAAGAGAATGTAAAATACATATTCCTAAAGCCTCAAAGAACTTGATCTGGATTAGACTCATACTGAGCCAAAATAATTGGCAACAGCTGAGGAGCACAAACCTTGCACTGTCCTTTATGCTCACAGTATAAAACACACGGGGAAGCTGGGGACGTGCAGAATGTGTGCGTGCTGCCAGTGCGAACAGTCTTCCAGCTTAAATACTTGAAGAGCTGAACACTTCCAGCAGAAGCTGCAGATGGACAGGTACTTGAACGTGATATTTCACAGGGTCAACAGTTTAAAATTAAATACCTTTTAAGGCAAGCGCTTGGCTTGCATTTGATACTTTCATCTACCTGCCAAGACGAAAGCATGGGATGATTCCTTTCTACCAGAGTTTCTGACTATACTCAAGCGGAAAATCAATCTAGAGGAAAGCAATCTTTGAAGTGCTAGAGCTGATATTATCTCCACCTCTTCCAGAAAGGAACTGTCACTCCAGTCAGGGCTAGTGACCAGAGCAGGGATACATACTGTTTGAAATCCTTTCCTGCTTTCTCTGTTCAGATACTTTTTTTTACTAAATCTGCCTTGCAATTACTGAGCACTAGTTTCTGAACAAAACCCGGCACTTCATGCACAGAGTTGGGAGTATAATTTGGCCACTGTTTTCAATAACTCAAGTTCCAGTATGCAAACTTGAGGCACAGCTTCAGATTTTAAAGCAATTTTTTATTTAAAAGATAAATGCAAAGCCATTAGAAAGACTATTGCTCTTAATCAAATTGGGCTGTTTCACATTGCTGCCATTTTTATATTGTACTTTATCATTTCTCAATTCATGAACGTCATGATTTGTTATATAAGCACCAACTTTCAATTTAAGCACATTCAAGACCACAACTGAGCATGATTTGAGCAAAATTATACAAAATGACTTTCTGTGCACACAGAAAATGAAGCATAAAAACAGTTATCTAAAGATGAAGCAAAGACGTATGGCTCTTCTTACTGTTTAAAACTGTAATTACACCTATTTGCCTTGAATGGACTTGAGTTCCATGTTTGAGAAGTGGCAGGAAAAAGTTTAGTATTAAACATTTTGATTGCAGGCATTTGCATTTTGGATCCAATTAAAGAAAAGTGTAATCAAAGAAAGTCAAAAGGCAAACACTTATGCATGTCAAAATAAGTTCTTATACTTCAAAATAACCCCAGGAGCTAAGAGACCAGATGGGATAAGAAAAACTCTAAACCTACCATTTGCATTTACGTTGTAAATCGAGGGTGCAGTTTTCAGAAGTCTAGTTCCACAATCACTGAAGTCAGTAAGAATTTAACTTTTACTAGCTTTAACAGGGGCACAGATAGATCAGTGCCAAGTACTTCTGAGCCTTCTGCAATCATTAATGTCTCCTGTAAGATCCACTCCCACCTTCTGAAATGAATTTGTACAACATGAACTGCTGTACAATTCAAAGTTGTTTCTGCAACACAGCAGTCTTGGTCCGGTATTCCAGACAGCCTTCCCTTTTTATATAATATGCCCAAAGTCTTACTCCATTCCAGTACTGATACAAAAGCTCCAGTAAAAACATTTCACAACAGAAAATTAAAGATCATGATGCATACATTACCCAGAAAAGTGGCAAACAAAACATTATGTAGTATAAAACTCTTTTTTCAATCCCCCATTCCTTCTCTAACATCATTTATCTTACAGCAGGACTTCTGTGATTTTAAACACATTGCTCTCAGTTTATTGAAAAAGCCAATCCACACGGTAGGAATGTAAGAAACCAATGTTTACACTTTTCATGACAGTCACAAACAATTATAATATGGATTAGCACATGATACTGTTAGCATCTACTTTTCTCTATGATTCAAAGCACTTCTACTTTTCTAAGACTTACAATGCTTTTTCCTTCCCTTTTGAAGGAAACGGCATGAAGGCAGCTCAAGAAATTGAAGCGGGTAAATCTAACGTTTAATTGATATGAGCAAACTAGAATTTAAGGCTTCCTAAACCAGGAGTACTACAAGAAAGAAATCTACAGTTACTGTACCTTGGGAACGCTTTCGCTTAAGACATGCGGCATCTGAATTCTCCTTATATCCTCTCCATTTGAACAGAGAAGGGAGGGAGAAGGGAGGGAGGTGGTAGAGAACTAAAAGCAAAAACACTGAGCTTCAAAGTAAAATTTTTAAAAGGGGTGTCATTTTTGCATTAGTATTACTCTTTTTAAAAAATTTCACATTTTACTGAATAAGCATATACATTTAAAAACTGGTTGTGTAGCAAAAAGTGCAAGATCACATCAGCCAAATTTAACTTTTTCCTCTTCATAAACAGTTATGACATCATGAATGCAGCAAAGCTAAAGGTGCTGGTAAAAGAAAACTGTGACAGTGTAATTAATCTTACTGAGTGCCTTTGCATTAATGTGTTTAAAACCATAAACATACTATTTTGTATAGGGCAGAACACAGTAATCCTTCTTAAATAAATACTGCAAACACGTAAATAACCCTTTAAACACAGGTCCATTATTTTCCCTAAAGACCGTGAGAGCATAACAAGTCAGACAAAATATGCTGCTGTTAACCCTGGTTTGTATGTCCACAGGAAAGTGCCTTCCACAGTGAAATGCATCAGCATGCAAAAGCTGCTGCTGACAACCTGCACTTATGAACAGGAGCTTCCCCTTAATGGTAAGGTAAGTTCAGAATTTTTGTTAGGCTTTCAGTTGTCTTAATTTTATCTTAAAAGGAATAAAGTAAGAATACTGAAATATTGCATAGCAGTCCAGAAGATTCTTTCTCATGGACTGACCCTACCCACACATCAGTGCAATGTGACTGGGGAAGAAATACCTTAACATAAGTCAAAGCCTCTGCTAAAGCAAGTCAAGGTACGTGACCGAGAAGCTGATGCTCTCGGCACATAGTGAATACTATTCTCCTACTTGCTATTAAGCTCAGTTATGATAGGATACCTATTGCACTTTGGTGGTTCCAGAGCAAATCTGAAAGCGAGGTTCTACAAATCTCTGTTACTGCACTGTGGGCGCTCACTTTTCCAAATAATCTTACATCCTAAACAAATAAAATCCTTTCAAAATGCTTTAACTATACTAGATTTCTGAGGCTAAATGAGTGATAAAATCCAGCGTGAGATCAAGAAAGAGGCTCTAGTCCGGCTTCTGCATTCACAAATTTAAGTCATTAAGCAAGCTGTAATTGTGGAGAGACTAGAACTACCTGAAGTCTGTTAGCCTACTGGAAAGAGGGGGAAAACACCACTGAAACAACATTTTCCCTTCAAACGCCAGGATAGATTAATACCCTGTAATCCAATAAATCATGCCAGCACAAGTGAATGCTATTCCATGCTTACGTCAAGCGCTTCTACTGCCACAGTTATGCTGCTCAAGGATCACACCTCTTCGTATCCTTGGCTAACAGCTCTGTCAGCAGGTGCCTTAGTACAGGTACACGTTAAGTCCTTTTAAGTCTTTAGGGTTGCACATCAGTTTTCCACAGGAGAGGAATATTAGGCTCATAGTTACTGCACTTGGGATTTGATGGAATAATTTAGTCTACAGAATATTTTACTCGCTGCAGCAATACAACACTCAAGAAGAATATATACAGGAAATTCAACTAAAACATAAGAAAAAACTTTTTACTGTGTGAGTGGTTGAACACTGGAACAGGTTGCCCAGAGAGCAACCTCTGCCCTTCACAGAGAGGCTGTGAAGTCTCCATCCTTGGAGATGTTCAAAACTCAACTGGGCAGGGTCCTTGCTCTAGTTGACCGTGCTTTGAGAAAGGGGGTTGGACCAGACACTCTCCAGAGGTCCCTGACAATCTCAATATTTCTGTGAATTACTTTCACTTCTAAAGGTTAACTTTACCAGCAGTGACTAAAGTTACTATAATATATTTTTGAACAGAGAAAATTTTATTTGAAAACTAAGCCAAAACAAATCAACTCCATTCCAAATTTTAAAATTATTGTGGCATCCAACCACACACTGAAAATCTATAATAAAAACCAATAAACATATGCAATTTCAAAATCAGTGCATCTCAAAAACCCACTCTGATTATGACTTACAGGATTTTTCTTCTCCATTTTTGATCAGACATCACAGAATCATAGAATAATCACTGAATAATTTAGGTTGAAAGGACCTGACGGAGGTCATCGGGTCCTATCCTCCACTCAGTGCAGGGTCAACATTTAAGTTAGATCTAATTCCAAATTTACATCAGGTTGCTCAGGGCCTTTTCTAGTTGAATTTTGAATATTTCCACAGATGAAGATTTCACAGCCTCTCTGTGAAAATATAATGAACCATGTCTACTATCACATATATGCAACTTCCAGCTTCACTTCATCCTAATTACAAGAATATACCTGGGAAAAATCATGTAGTAATGGATGAGAAGTATTTAACTTACTAACAACTAACTAAGTGCTTTTAAAGTAGAGGTAGCAAGCCTTAAAGGTATTAAAGGATAACATTTATAATGCGGACTAAGTTATGATCAACCCTGTTCTGTGGTCTTGAATAGAAGCATCAAATTAGCCCTCACATCAACCTAGAGCAGTTGCAAGTACCACCCACCCTTATTTCCCCAGAACCATGCTGAGCACTTGCTGTTCCTACCCTACTGTTTGGCACCATTACCACAGGTTTCTGGCTTCGTTACATAGAAGGCAATAGACAGCAACTTTAAAGCGTACCAAATTCCCCCTCCTCTACCCTACAGAAACTCATAGCAAGGGATATGTGGGCTCCAGACACAAAGCAGGAGAGAAATATCAACACGAAAGAGCTACTGTGACCCTTCATCAAGAAGCTCCTGGCCTGAACATCTTTGCCTTTATTCTGATTAAACTTCATTAGCAAAAGATCTAAGAACCTTTAAGAATTTGCTGTGGTCTGAGTTTAGGGTCTTGTTTATCTTACAATGGCCTTGATACTATTGAGATGACTAGAGAATGCTGCTCCTTTGCTTCAGATAAGTCCTGAACTCATCAACTGCCTCGGGAAGCATAAAAAGCAGTTTTCAGATCTTGTATTATTTTGTGTATTTTCAGCTTAGTGACTGCTAACAACCTATTATGGTATCATTTTTATTTTCCCTTCAAAATGTTTTCACCTGAAATACTGCTTCACAGAACAAGTGTGATAACTTAGGTCTTCCTCAGAAATATTAAACATATTACTACTGTAAAATAATTCTATAGACAGTCACTGGGTATATACAGTACAAGAAAAGTTAATATTTCTGCAGATTAACATATCAGAGATAACTCAGTGGGATCAAATTAACCACCAAGATATTTTCATATTTTAAGCGTCAAAGTTTATATCAAATGGTTAGAATTTTGAACCTAAGAACTTATTTCAAGATGTCATCTTGCAGCCCGTGTTGACATGAATTTATGTACGCTAGGTTTCAAGAATGAATCTTCCTTAGGAAGGATAGGCAAAGCCAATATACAAAAACCCTAGTGCTACCTGGATGAAAAAACAAGTACAGATTTGATGTCCCCCAACACTGTCCACCTATCAACAGCATGGCAGAAGAACAAATCACAGACCTGGAAACCCACATACGCTGTTACAGCAGTGTAGCATCTCATTCGGGGGTTTAAGGTGTCAAAGATTTGATTGTTTGTAGCACAGCCTGAATGACAAGTGTCAAGCTTTACTCTTAAATACAACAACAAAATGACATGATGATTCTCATTCTGCTCAAAAAATAACATAAAATTCTTTAAGTTAATGACAAGCTAGAAGATGTTTTCCTGAATCTGCTGATTTCATGTTCGTGATTTGCATTAACTCAAACACAAGCTGCAGACATTCACTTTCACAACAAAACTGTCAAAGAAATTCAGCCAAACCCTTTTTCCTCTGATGATGGCTCGTCTTAAGTTTGGGTTCCTCCGGCAGCTGTACTGGCTAGTCTGTTTTAAAAGACAGGATAGGAATGTCCTTTCCTGTATCTACCAGTAATAAAATCAATTGTTAACACTGAAAAACGTGCCTGGAACTAGGCCAGCATCAAAGCAGACTCCACAGCAATGAGATGTCAAAGAGTGTGGTCAGGCTACGGAGGAGACAGATGATGCCCTTGCAGCATTT